TAATATAATGATCATTGATAAAGATAAGAATAATCATTAAAATTGTATAGTTCCGTGTTACAATGTGATGAGACATAGAAATGAGTAATTCAAATCGAAAACGGTGTAGACTCTACCTTTATGTTGAGTGTTTCTGCTACGATCACAATAATTATGAAAGGAACTACTCCAGTATTAAACTTCTCGATGTTACCAAACAACGGTAAGGAGCTAGCCAAGTGTAAAAGTTGATAAAGTTTCACAAGCCATCAAAAGAAAGCAATCCATGCGATCTCATCTTACTGGAACGACGGTAGTTTAGGAGGAGGTGATCCGCCTCAATATATACTGGTGCAGAAGAAAATCGATCAAGTCCATAATTAACGAAGAGATATTTCTGGAAGGCAACACTCCACCACTGAATGGGTCCGGTGACAAAAAAACATTGTGAAAGTAGTAAAATGCATATCAAATTTGATTAGGTTTCTAAGAATTTGTGATATTAGTGGTGTCAATAAAAAGAGATGTTTCTGAAAAAATACCTAATATTACCCAACACCGCTAATAAAAATTACTATGTGTGCGTAATGCAAAATAAATCACCTCTAATTAGAAACATTTGAAATAACACAAAAAGTAAACATAAATGGTAATCCACGAACAAAATTTTATAAGTGACATTTTTTAATAAGATGCTACTTTTTTTCTAAAACAAATACAAACATTAGTGCTATCCAAATTGCATTAACAACAGTTTCTCAAACTTCATACATCTGTTGTTGTTGCGGCATATCAAATTGGACTGTTTCTTTTCACTTGTATTTGCCGCATTATCAAATATCATATTATATCATCTTGCTCATACTTCAAGAATAATTTGTGTTCCTATCTTCAATTCTAATGAAATTATGTAATGCACAACAAGTAATGAGAATCAAATACTCTGAAACACTCTCGATCGCATTACGAGTTTTGATAGTTAACAAAGTTTGCTTACTACTTATTCTTCTTCACCAGTTAAAATAATTTAGGTGATAACTTTCTCTACAGTACGGAGGTAAGAACCTCAAAACATTTGGACACATCAACAACATAATAATAACCGACGAAGTATAATTAAGACAATAATGAATATATACAAGTTTGTGCTTAACAATTAAGAAATTGGTTTAACCGTATAAGTATGTTATTAGGTTTATAAATTATAATTATAGTGTTTCTTGGTTTTACCCAAAGTACTAGTGTAACATCCAGGGCATGCCCCGGTAGTGTTAATTTGATATGGGTCAGGTGACAAATACTAAATAATAAACATCGTAACTATTCATAGGATATGATCAAAATTTTGGTGATTTCTCTTATGAAGTAACCACCGCCATCTTTTAAGGTACTAATTTGTGGTTATATTTTGGTTTATGTGCTTATTGTTGTACTAGTTAGTAATTATCTTTAGGGCTAATTTTATGATGAGGAATGATAAGAAGAAGTGTTGAATTGGAATTGAGAATGTTTTGGTCTAATATGATTTAAATTGACTTTTTGTCTATTCTGGTCTGGACTGATTTTTTCTGATTTAATCTGATCTGGTTTGAATGTTTTGGTCTAATATGATTTGATATGAATTTTGGTCTAATTTGGTCTAAATAAAGTAAAAATAAGTAATACGGAGTAAACAATAAGAATAAGAATAAGAGTAATTAAATAGTTTCCAAGGATATGCTTTTTACGTTTTTTCCCCTAGTTTTTCTCTAGACTTTTTCATTAGTCATTCCATCTCTGCTACAAACTAATTAATTGTTTGGGATAATTTCCATAATATGACTCAAAACGTTTGAGAATTCCAAAATAGGACTATCATATTTTTATTCTCTAAATAAGACTCATTACTGTCATGTTTGGAAAATATTAACATGTTTAAAGTCTGGTACTGCCAAAACTTAACAATAATTAGTCATATTTTGAAAATAAAAACATTATAGCCCTGTTTTGGAATAGACAAACACATTTACTCCTATTCAGAGCAATTTTTCTAAATATTTCAATGTGTGGAGCCTACATGATGTCGTTAGTTATTTAACGTTTTCCACCTACTTTTTCCTCCTTTTCCATTATAGATGATTTATCTCCTTTTTGTTTGGAACTAATTAAAGATTTTCATAATAAAGAAAAAGAATTTTTGTGATCCAATAACATAGTGACATACGAAGTATATGTTAATAGTTTGAAATCATGTTTTACTAAATAAAATAATAAATTTAAATATTTAATGAAAAATGGATTACTTATATGTGTCACGACTGTTGTGTAAATGTGCATTTCTCATAGTGCACATTTAAACTCAAATTTTACTATAGATATTATGTATCATTGATTTATAGCTCAATTTTTACAATAGTTTTTATATATATGTAAGTTGGTGTCATATGAGAGATACTAAAATTTTACGATTTTTTATATGGTTTTAGTTAAATTTGGAGTGATGCACTGAATGAGTTGATTGGATTAAAATGAATAGCAGTGATGCACTGAGTGAATAGCAGTGATACACCGAGTGAATAGCAGCGATGCACTGAGTGAACTTAGATTAATTAAATGATCTAGAAGTGGTGATAACGGAATTTTTATTAACCAATAAGAGACTCACACATCATTGATTCATAGTTTAGTTTTATTATAAAAAATAATGAATTTTTTATTTTTATATATGCAATATTGGTTTAATATGAAAGATTATAGAACTTATAAGTTTTAATACATTTCTTATAAAAATTGGAGTACACAAAAAGAAGAAGAAATCTCTCCCCTTCCTCTAAATAAGTTGATGTGATTAAAGTGAATAGCAGTGATGCACCGAGTAATAGCAGTGAAGCACCAAGTGAACTTGAATTAATTAAATGCTATAGTAGTAGTGATAACAAAATTTATTAACTAATAAGAAATAGACACATTACTGATTTATAACTACATTTTATTATATAAAATAATATATTTTTATTTTTATATATGCAATATTGATGGCATATGGAAGATCAATGAATTTTGATATAATTTTTGTAAAGATTGAAGTACAAATAAAAAGTTATAGCTCGTTAAAAGATATTTTTCTCCTTCACTTTCTCCAAATGAGTTGGCGTGATTAATATGAATATCTCTTATGCACCAAGTGAATAGCAGAGATGCACCAAGTGATCTTGGATTAATTAAATGTTTTAATAATAATAATAAATCTTTCATTAACCAGTAAGAGACTAACACCTCATTGATATTTAATCCAAATGTATTGTATAAAATAATGTTTTTATTTCTATATATGCAACATTATGTCATATGAAAGATAATAGAATGTTATAAATTTTGATGTATTTTCTGTAAAAATTGGAGTACAAATAAATAAGTTATAATACATTTTTAAAAACAAAGTTTTTTCTCTCCTTCACTTTCTCCAAATGAACAGTGATACATGTATTGAATAGCAATGATGAACCAAGTCAACTTATACGGAGTATGAATTAAATATTTTAGTAGTAGTGAGAACTGAATCTTTATAAATCAATAGAATTTTTAACTCATTTTTGCTATATAAAATACTACATTCATCTCATTCAAAAGTTCTCGTCCACTTTTATCCGATCAACATAAAGTCTTATTAATCTATTACTTTATATATTCAATTTCTATCAAATTTGAGTTTTTCTTTTGCAACTTTATAAAACTTTTGATGTAGTCTATGTATATGTAAATTTTGTTTCCTAAAAAGAATCTATTTAAGGTTGGGATCAATTAATTTTATGGTCAATCAAATATCGTAAACCGTGTGAGAGCCTTTCTACGGGACGTAGAGAGTAATAGATATTTTTTTATTTTTATATACTATGTATATGATTTTGGTGTCATATGAAAGATTATAAAAAGTTATGAATTTTGATATAGTTTTTTAAAAATTGGATTATAAATATAAAAGTTATATCACTTTAAAAAGAGAGTTTATTTCTCCTTTTTTTGCTCCAAATCAGTTGTGATGTAGGGAGTTTTTTTTAATAGTTGTGTGATGTAGGGGGTTAATTAATTGTTTAAGTTGTTGTGATAATAGAATTTGCATTATCCAATAGGCCGTTGTCATATCATTAGTTTTTTTTAACGAAAACTAGCCTCTATTCATATCATAAGTTTCAGGATCATTACATCAATCAAAGGAAAAGCAAATCTGACACCAACTAGACTCCAACAACTACGACTGTAAACCCTATGATGAGCTTTAGAAACGATCACCCCTGAAAGAGCAACACGAATCGCTAACCATGTAACGGGCTCGACACAGTCATCCCTATTCCCATAGATCCAAACATGCTCAATGACATCAAACAAGGCCAAATTTTTAAATAAACTGACAAATCTAACAATATAGACGATAACAAGAAACCAAATGACAAAATAATGAAAACTTATTTGAAAACTTTTACGGACTCTAGCATCTCGCACAATCCATGGCGGAGGTTCAGGAGGAGGTCGTGTTCTTGGTACCACTCTAATTGATCCTCCATTGTCAATCGTCATCTGGCCTGCTCGAAATCCGTGCAACTCTCCTCGTCTCGTGCTCGTAGCAAATCCACCGCTAGCGGTCATCTTCATCGTTGTCATGCCCTTGCTACCCGGCTCATAAAGAAATCGATCGCCGAACTCTGGCTTCGATGTCGTCAAGCTTGGCCAAGGATTCTTATCAATCTGTCTCAAATTCAATCATAACGCCGGACACAAGTGAAGGGGATTCACCGACCGGAAGAATTAAACCTTAGACCTGCTAAGGAAAAACCAAACCGTAGACCTACTAGGGAGAGACCGTGGCTTGATATTAGCCAAGAACACTTAGTAAAACAAGAATAAAGGTGGAATTGGATCAAAAGTACCAAAGTTTTTAACTCAACTTTACTATATAAAAAATGGTAGAATAATGATTTTTTTTTATTATTATTGTGCTAATAAGCTAATTACTTAATTCGTAGCTTGATTTTTAAGACAAATTAGTTGTATTTGTTGAAACTTGAAAAGGAAGGCCCACTTTTTTGTTGCGTCTCCATTTTCTCAGAACCATGGCGGCGGCGATATGGAAATACCGGCGAGGCGGTGGGCTGGGATTCATCGCCATAGCCTACATTGGAGTGGACTACCTCCGCTTCTTCTCGCCACATTTGCACTCTTGGATTCAGCCAGTGCTATGGACGGTCCTGGCAATTGCAGTCATCATCCGCGTTCCCTTCTACAAGCACTGGCCATCTGAGCTTCGCTCTGCGCTTCCCTTCGTCTTGTCTATAGTCTTCTTACTCTCCGCCCTCCTCATTGAAGCCATTTCAGTCCGTTCTGTCACTGCCGTGCTCGGCCTGGATTGGCACAAGTACGCAGCTCACACCACTTTTAATTATAATCTCGTTCCTTTTCTAGTTTTGAGTGATTCAAGCAATGCTTTTCTGTAATGGCTTCGAGAAATATTAGATCGGGTTATTTAATTTCCCGATTTGTTTTTAATTTGAGCAAATGAAGAAATAAATGACAAACTGCAAGTTCATTTATTAAGCAACCTCTAAAGATTTCGTTCATAATCAATCTATACAAAAAGAATGCAATTTCTATTTTTGGTAGGATAATAAAAGATTATGGATACAGATTTAGAATGGATGAGGGGAAGGTTCAGGTAACTGTGGAATCATCCTTCAAGTGAATGATGGATGATTGGATGGTGGAGCACCCGCCATCACTTAAAGGACATCTTTTGTTAAATTCATATTGGATTTTTTCTAAAAACTTTTGTTGTCCAAACTTAGGATGTTTTTGCTTAGACTTATTTAGTGACTAGACCAGATCAGACCAGATTTGCACTCTTGGATTTACAGTCCAATTTACCAAACCAATGCAAACCAGGTCAGATCAGACCATACCATAAATTTTCAGTCCAAGTAAAAACATCCTTAGTGTTTAACAATAAACATTATAAACTAGCTTAAAATATGATTTAAAATACTCCGTATGATTTACAACGTGACAGTGAAACATCGCCTCTTCCTGATGTTGGCCAGTGGTTACTTCTGGCATTGAATGAAAAGCTACCTCAAGTAATGGTTGACATATTGAGGGCTGATATAATTGGATTGCATCATTTTCTGATGCTGTTTGTGATGCTTGCCTTTTCTGTACTGTTTGAATCTGTTGAAGCTCCTGGTCTTGGGCTGGGAGCAAGATACTTGTTCACAATGGGTTGTGGGCGTCTTTTGAGGACCATTGCATTTGTTTCTACAATTTTGCCATCTGCAAGACCTTGGTGTGCACAGTCTCGGTTTCATGTTCCTTATCATCCTCACCGTTGGGCTCAGAAGTATTATACTCCGTATGCCAAAGATTCTCAAGCTATACGCCAAGTCATTAGCTGGGATACTGCATATGGTATTCTCTTTCAGAAAATTTGAATTTTTGGCCCCATGACTATTAACTTTTTCCCAATTTTTGTTCATGACTTTTATTTTTTTCACTTTTGGTGCACAACAATAGCTGCATTGCCATTTTTGGTCCTTGCAACTTATCATACAATTTCTTTAGAAATTCTTTTGCTGGATAAGGATCGGGAAGGACAAAGATGGCCATCAATCAATAGTCATGCACCAAAAAGTAGGAAACCTAAAAGAAAGCTGGTGACCGAAAGTGGAACCAATGTACTCCGTCTTGGGACCAGGAGTGGAATACTTTCTTTTATCTTATGCTTTTGTGTCATCATAAACGCTTTTGATTATTCCTTTTCAGCTAACCTGGGAGATTACAAAGCAGAATTTCGGCCCAATTGGGGGGTAATGAGCTTCCTTATTGATTTCTTACGACCTACATCCCAAGAGGGATCATCTTCGTGGTACCATTTGTTGAAGAAAGCTGGAGGTGGCTGTAATGACCTCATATATAGCGGCCACATGCTTGTTGCAGTACTGACCACTATGGCATGGACGGTATGCCTCCTTGACATTTGTTATCCTACCATATTCTTCTTGTGCTGTGCTGCTATTTAGTGAGTGAAAGTTGCATTCCATTTCATTTGGCAAGGTTAGATTCCAAATACTTTAGCTAGTGTTTTCATTGAAATTGAGGTTAGATTGGCTAAAAATGTACTTAGTGTTTGAAAAACAATCTCCTTGAATTAGAGAAAATAGCAGTCATTATTAAAAATGACAAGAAGTGTTTCAGTTCCACCTGTTCTGGAAAAAATTTAACTTCTATAACACTTGACTTTTTTCATTATAGTTTTTAAAACAGCGCAGAGTATTAAAACAAATTGATTGATAAGTACCAACCCCAATATGGCCCATTTGGTTATGGTTGTGGCTTATGTGACCTGTTTCAAAACCTGCTTATTCTGCAAACGAAGCATCTGTTGTGAAAAACTAATGCAGGAAGCGTACGGTGGATATAGCTCAGCAATTGTGTGGTGTCTTTTGCTGCATAGTGCCCAAAGAGAAATAAGGGAACGCCACCATTACAGTGTAGATGTGGTTGTGGCCTTCTACATGGGCATATGCTTATGGAAACTGATAGGCCTATTCTGGCCAGTCAAAGACAAGTCAAAAAACAACAGGCTCGTTAAGCTGGAGAAGATACATGGCGGGTTAGTGCAAGCAGCTAAGGACTACAACATGGATAAAGTTAGAGAGCTCTTAGAAGAAGTAGATATGAGTGGGCCCGTTAACCAGAACCCCCCGAACAAAGTATTGCGGGTTTTTTCAGGCATGACCATCATCTTCACACTGACCATTGTTATTCTTGCTTTCACACTGACCAGTGACGGTTGATCCATTTTCACCCGACTTTGTGAATTTTTCCTCTTTGCCAAGTTTGGTTCTAGAGTGCACTATGGATGTTGTAGAAGTGTGTCAATTGATTGTCGCAGATATATCATGTGCATTGTATGAATTTTCATGTCCCATTCTCGTGTTGTGAGTCATGTAACATAGAAGAAACTCGATGAAATGGTGTAACATTATTCCTCCATGACGTACATGATAACAGTGTGTTGTGTGCGTTCTTTTTCTCTCTTTGTAATGCAATATGAAACTTTTTATCACTCTAAATGTTATTCTAATAACAGTTTACTAAGAATGGAATCATTGAAGGTTATTTGTTTTAGAGCTCGTGTATTCGAGGAATAGAGCTTAAGAGCTTGATAAAAGCTTAAGAGCAACTCAGATTGGTGTTAATTTGTTGAAGTACATAAGCACATTTCACCAAATTCCAGGATTGAGTTGAATGGCCAATCCTTGTTTGACCTGATGAATCTTCTCGGTCTTTTGTGATCGCTTTGAGATGCTTCTGAATCTCCAAAGTATATGATACATCCACAAAAAAAATGATCAGTAGCACCCAAAATTAAATAAAATCAAGACTTTAAACAATTCAGTACAAATTTAACCTCGAAAGTCAATACAAAGTTAGAACAATTAAAGATAATGGGTTAAAATGACATTTGCCACCCTACATTCCTATAACATATTGCCTTCACTTGAGCTGGCATATCATGTGTTGTCAACAAATCTATCTCTTTAATGCAATATACCAGGGCTCCCCACTTATATGTGAAAAAACTCATTTAAACACACACACACAGCAACTCTTTTATACTATGGTGGGAAATCAAATACTATCGTATATCGTTTTTTCCTCTCACAAAGTGTCATTATTGAAGTTTTTAATGAACTCCTTTAATAAATGTATAATAATAATAATAACTACAACTTAACACTAAATAACAAAGTGATTTTATTTTCGGCTATATAAGAAATTTATTGATTTAGTAAATAATACGGAGTATATAATTATAAAATGATACTAATCTCCCTAAATTTGCTTTTGAATTGACTCGACACACTTATTTAGATGAGATAATTAATTACCTTACGTATGAGTAAAACTTCTTCACTTTCTCAATCTAGATAGTGAAATTGCCTTGTTGAAGTTAATGACAAAAAGTTAATAGTAACACCGATCACATAAAGAAAGTCCTTATAAGAAAATTATATGAATACTATGGGACATTTTAAAGGAAAGTGGGAGATATTTTTGGGACAAGATAGTATCTTTATAATAAAAATGTGAATAATCTATATTTATGATTGTCAGGTTTATTTTTATTACTTTTTAGGAAAAATAGTCAAATACATCATTCACATAACTGATTAACTCTATAAAAACAATTAATATGATCAATTTTACCTGAAACAACCCTCTATAGCAACTAAAATGTAATGTAGATTTGACTTTTTTGTTTTCTTCTCTTTCGTTTCTCATTTTTCTTTTGGCTTCTCTTCCCATTCCCAGGCTTCCCAGCTTCCGTCTTCTTGCTTTGAATTGCTGAAAAAAAAAATCTTTATCTTTACACACACACACATAGCTGATTGCTTTGAGCCTGTCATTGCCGGAATTTTGATTGATTTTGAATTGCATATGAAGTTAAAATTATATGGATGTAATTTTAGTTGGAGTCTGAAGGTTACTTAAACTCTTCATTCTTTTGTTATAAATGACTTTATTAATTAGGGTTTGAAGGATGGTTGATTTTAGTAGTTATTTTTGGTGGTCAAACACAAGAAAACAATGAGAATGACCTTAGATTGAGGTCTAACATCTCCAAATCACATTTGAATGTAACCGTTGCAATTTCTTGAATTAATAACTTCTATCACATTTCTTCATTTCCTTTTCAAAGAGGGATGCACTCATACACGTACTACAAAAGTCCAGCTAGACCAAAACCCCAATTCTTTAAATAATATAAGTTGTATACAGAGGATTCAAGGCTCGCGGTCACATGGCTTCTCGAGCCCGAAGAAGAACTCGTTGAAGTTCATCTGCGAGTTTTTGTAGGATAACTGGTTTCCGTATAAGACCATTCATTCCCACCTGAAGACATTTGTCCCACATATGATCTTCCGAACTCGCAGTCAGTGCGATAATCAATGGCCAGTTACGACTCCTATACTGTCGCACTCTTTTTACCACCTCAAACCCATCCATTTCTGGCATGTGAAGATCCAACACGATGATCTGGAAAGACGTCCTTCCCGTGGGGCCACCCAAAGCACTTAGACATTCAAAACCAGTTGAAACTGCAGTGACATGGCAGCCTAGCATCTCAAGTAGCTTTTTAGTTACCATTCTGTTCACGCCATCGTCATCAGCCAAAAGAACCTTAAGGTCTTTAAATGTTGAGCTCGAAATTTGTTGCTCAATAGAAGGATTTTTATATTCGAAGACCCGCCGTCTATATGAAGATTGCTTCTGGAATCTAAGAATCAGAATCATTCCTTGTGCACGGCCCCGGGAATTTGAGGAGATCCATATATTTCCTTGCATTAACTGCAACAAGCACAAGAGGTCAACAAGAATTGCATTATGCTCCTGTTAATACTCTGTACAAAATAATATGTTCCTATGAATTGAGTTGTTTTGTGTATAATATAATATTAACCCAAAAGACAGGAAAAGTAAATCTAGTCAAGGTCCTTATTGAGGACAAAGAATCAAAGTTAATATATCACAACTTGATGATCTGTTGAAAATGTCAACCTTATAAAAGTAGTCTTATATACTAGCCATGTGGACACTCTTCACACCCTCTAGCTACCGAGCACCGCATTTAGCTCTTGCAACTTTTAATTTTTCAAATCATAGGGACACACATCTTTCCAAACTTGACACATAGGCATTCGTCTGGTTTGGGCAATTTTTCCATAACGCCATATACACTTGCAACCCCATTTTTCATACAAGACCAACATCATTGCTATACGTTAACTCTTACACCATTTTAAAACTTGAGCTTCCGTTCTAAAAATGTTGAAACCTAAGCAAAAAGGAGTAGCCTATGATCTTAAATATTACTCCGTAGTTTTTTCCTTAACATTTAGAATCACTTGAGTAAGATATTTACATCTGGTGTCAAACGAATCAGGAGAGCATTTTCCATGAAAAACAAACAGAACCCAAGTAACAAATTTTGCGGGTAAAAATGACGCTCTTTTGAAAGTGATGAGCTACATCAAAGTGAGAGATACTAAAAGGAATCTGGAAAGTGATGTCATATTTAGTGTGTCACTTTCATAACATCTTAAAACGTTAGACTTCATAAATATGACATCACCTGCAAGGCCAGAATGTAATGCATCACTACATTAAAATGAGAATCGGATATTCAATAAATGGAACTTGACATCACATTTATTATATCAATATTATAGGAGATGAAAACATTACATTATGTAAATGAAATATCATTCGCCAGGAAGGAATGTGGTTCATTTCCATGAAGTAACATTACATTATATTTTCTAGAATGGACGTCTATATTTGATATATTTGAGTAAACAACTATTTAAACAATTATTGTTCCGGAAATCTACTTTAAACCGTTGAAAGTAATGAGCATCAAGAAGAACTACATCAATAATGAAATTCACAAAAGAATTGCAAAATGGAGACATTTATGTTGTAATAATAAGGACCCTTCAATTTATGATCTTTTTATCAGCAGAAAATACATTTCCAGATTTTCAAGTGTTTGGGATGGCGTAATATTTATATATTTGATAATACTAAAAAAGAAGCATTCAGAATGCGAAAATCATTTCCTGGATTCATTGCTTTTCTTTGGAAAATGGCTTAAGATAGGATGTCATATTCCGAAACAAGTTTTTCACTTTTTTGGAGAAAGCATTTTGTGTAGTTCGTCTCACATCAAATTTACCTTCCATCAAAATAATGAAAACTAAGGAGGATACATAAAAACCACTTTATTTATTACCTGCACAAGCTTCCTGCACATGCTGAAGCTCAAACTTTCCTTCACATCTCTACTATTATGCTTTCTCCGGCCCGGATGAATGCCCGACCCTTCAACAGTGATTTCAATTTCGAATTTAACTGCCAGATTCTCATCACCCGAACTTGCTATTCTAGCATTCCGAACTTTATTATTATTCCCATCCCCAGATTCACTTTCAGGACCAACTCTGAACACCACCATGCAGTTTCCATCACTTTTGTTGAACAAATGCCCGACCATATGAAGTATAACCTGAAATGTTCTATTCTCATCCCCCATCACCTGGTTAGGCAAGGAACTTGAAACATCCGTAGAAAAACCAAACCCCTTACAAAAAGCAAAGCATTTAACAAGACAACAAGCCTTCTGTACCAAAGAGTGAAGCTGAAATGGCCTCATCTCCACGGGGAAGATTCCGTCATCTTTTGCAGATATCTCCATTGCATCGCTGATTAACATAGACAACACCGTACTTGTTTGTACACATGTGTCTATGACAATCCTCTCTTCGGGTTTCAAGTTGTTGTTAGTACGGTCTTGGAGTATGGAAAGCAATCCCAAGATCGAGTGCATGGGTCTCCTCATCCCGTTATTCATCACCTTCTGAAAGGCACTCCTCGCCTTGCTGGCCTTCACGGCGTCCTCTTTAGCTTGCACCAACAAATGGTTCCTCTCTTTCAGCCTATCGCGCATCAACTGAGATTCTTCAAGAACCGCTGCGTGGGATAATGCCACAGCCACCTGATCGGCCACAACCTCAACTATCTCCAGCTCGTCACAGCTCCAATCCCTGCCATTCTCGTCACCGGGAGGAAGAACCAGTACTAACACGGCAAAACAAGTATCAACCAGCTCGGGGGTCCCACCTTTGAAATTTGAACCTCGAAGCAGTGGCATTCGGATAGCCGCGATCGGACCGCCGCAGGAATCGGCAAGAACCGAGTCTCGTTTGAGTATCCTCACCCCTTCATTCTTTGTTATCTCTAAGACATCAGGATCATTGATCGAGAGGCAGCGACAAGATGAATTAGGGTTAGGATTAGGGTTCAACTCATGCGTCAAGTTCATTTCTTTCCTATTCTCACTTGGCATCCAAACAACACAGTTCTGGAGATTCAATGTTTTGGAGAGCTCAACGAGAGTTGTGTAGAGTATGTTGTGCTTATCAAGCGACTTTCTGATTTCTTGTGTGAGCATGCGGACGTGCACGCTTGCTTCATTCTGCTTCATCAACATTCCGACCTCTTGGTCTAGCTCTAACACATTCTGTCTCAAGAATAGTTCCCTGACTTTGAATTTCAGGAGGAGGGG